ATACCATTATCTGGCAGGAATAAAACTAGGGCAGAGCCACCCTGGTTTGATTCTTCTGTACGCAAACAACAACAGACGTGCCAGATGTTGGCGTACTTACTTATCTGCTCCTTCATTATGCACCTTCAAGCGATATCGTGAGGTTAGAAATGCCTGCAGGCAGTATCTACGAGGTGCTCGTCTACGGCATGAAGTAGAGCTTGCTCGTATAGCCTCATCAAACCCGAAACGCTTCTTCGCTTATGTCAAAAGGCGAAGCAACATGAATTCGTGCATCCCAGTGTTGTTTGGCCCGGACGGCACTGCTGTTGTCACGGATCACGAAAAAGCTTGTTTGCTCGGAGAACAGTATGCTGGGGTTTATGTTCGAGAGTCACAGCCGCCGCATATCAGTCTCCAGGCAAAATTTTCCTGAGGGCTCCCACTTGGAGATTTCTATAACCGAGACTCAAGTGCTCTGGCTTCTGAGGCAATTAAATCCCAATAAAGCTGCCGGTGGAGATGCTATTCATCCCAAACTGTTGTACGAGTTGGCTGATGAAATTTGCCGTCCGATTACGCAACTTTTTGTGAAGTCTCTACGAGGCTGCTCTCTACCCAAGGACTGGAAGGAGGCTATTGTTTGTCCCATTTTTAAGAAAGGTGATAAGCACCTCCCTGATAACTATAGACCGGTCAGTTTAACGAGCGTGCTGGTCAAGTTATTGGAAAAGCTCGTGAGGGACGCTCTCGAAGGACACTTGAAAGCGTTTGAGTTGCTTAATCCCTCTCAGCACGCTTTTCGTAAGGGCTATTCTTGCTTTACTAACTTGTTAACCGCTCGTGAACACTGGGTCGAAGCCGTTGATTGCGGGAAGGCAGTGGACATGCTGTTTATTGACTTTTCCAAAGCTTTTGACACCGCTCCACATTCGCGCCTTTTGTACAAGTTGAATTCCTGTAGTATTTCTGGACCAGTCTTACGATGGATTTCAGCTTTCCTAATCGGAAGGAAAATGTGTGTGCGGGTGGGTTCCAGCCTGTCCTTCCGCCAATGTGTTCTCAGTGGCGTTCCGCAAGGTTCGGTTCTTGGCCCCCTTCTCTTCACTTTATACGTTAATGACCTATCTGATGAATTGGGTGTGCCATCCCTAATGTTTGCGGATGACTTGAAACTCTGGTTCACGATGGACGAGCCGATTGGTCCACTGACCCTACAATGGGCTCTGGATAGACTTTGGGATTGGTCAATTTTGTGGCAGTTGCCCGTTAATTTAGGCGAAATGTTCAGTTTTACGCGTTGGTCCGAATGACCCGCCGACGCGTTATTTGCTTGGCGGCAACGAGGTACCGCGAGTTCAACTCCAATCTGACCTCGGTGTTTTGCTGTCATCCGACTTTAAGTCCAGTGAACACTGGACGACAGCTGCTCGCAAAGGTTTCAACATGTTGTGGATGATCCGCAGGTCATTCGGGATCATGACCACCGACATGTTCGTTAGACTATTTTCGGCTTTTGTAAGGCCGCACTTGGAATACTGCATCCAGGCTTGTCCTCCATGCCTGGTTCGTGGTTAGATGGCAGTTGAACGACTCCTGCGGTCCGAGACGAAAATGGTGCACGAATTAAAGAAGCTGACGTACCCGGAGAGGCTACGTAAGTTGGATATGTTTTCCATGTATTACAGGCGGCTTCGGTGCGACTTGGTCCTCACATATCGTATATTGATGGGTCAGATTGGTCCTGATTTGACTGGACTGTTTCGCCCAACTCGACTGCCAACCCTTCGTGGCCACCCATTAAAGTTGCACAAACCCCGGTCTGACCGGGTTTGGGCAGCTTTTCGGTTATCGCGTAGGGTTATAGCTTATTGGAACGCATTGCCTGCAGACGTCGTGATGGCACCGACCGTGAAAGAGTTCGAGCTTCGACTTGACGCTCTCGGTCTGCAGTTTAAAGTCTTCCCCTTCATGTCTTAAACTTTTCTTCGTCTACTACAGCCTACGCTTCTTTAACTCATTTTAACTTACATCTTAATATTGCCTACGATATTCTATAAGCTTGTCTTCTCTGTTTCCTTTTCTTTACTGACACTACTGTTTTCTTTTATTCTTCACGTGGCCGACACAGCGGGGACTGCTAGTGCAGGGCACGTGGGCATTGTTTGGTTGACCATGTGAATTGTGTGTGTTGATTTAGCTTTCCTTTGGCACGTCAATGCACCCGCTTCCCTGTTGGATCAACGACGTTTTCGAAGGTGGAACATTCGCGGGATTTTCCTACTGTTCCGGTCCCACTTGGAATTGAACTTGATTGTCTTCTCAAGGTCCTGTACACGTCTGTTTTTCCTGTTGTGGATAAATGCGCTTACCCCGTGTCTGCTCGTTCTGCTCGTGTCACGGTTGCGTATTGCGATTCTGTGAGTGCCCGGTGGCTGCGTGTGCTTCTCGCGTCGTGTGTCCGCTGTGATTGACTCCGTGCTGCTTTCTCCCGCCGTACCCGTTTTCTAGCTCCCGCCGATACCCCACTCCAGGAACTTCGTTACATTTGGTGACAGAGGTGGGATCGTAATGGAGAATGTAAACGCCAGCCCCCCAAAAGTGAAATCTCAACTTCGTGTTGTTGCCCAGGATTGTTCGGAGTTTCGACCAGTGCCGAGGCAACCCCCAGTTTTTCGGCCGGGTGATGATTTCGACAATTGGGAGTTCCACGTATCGTTATACCTCTCCAGTGTCCCTGAAAAGTACGTGGGGCCTTATGTTCTTAGCTTTTTGAGTGAGGAAGCCACGCATCTCTTCCGCGCAACTGGGATTCCTCCATCGGCGCCAGCGTCAGAGATATGGGAATCGCTGCGCGGGCTGTTCCGGAAACAGGAAACCGCGGTT